GGGCCCAGATATCAGTGTTCTAACAAGCCCTCTGGAGGATTCTGAGGCTTGCTAAAGCTTAAGACAACTGATCTACATTCGAAAAGATAACAATAACTGTGTCTGGATGCTTTCTCAGGTCTTTTAACTCTCTGGGCCGTGGGGCCTACATTAGTGAGGTTTGCTTGTCTTTTATAGCAGGTGATTCTAGGTGCAGCCAGTGCAAAGACCACTGCTAAAACCATAGCATGTTTGCTCAGAATTGTGCAAATGTTTAACTGACAGAGGCAAGGAAGCCCTGATGTTCAGGACTCGCCCTCCATCTCCCACTGTGGCAGATTTCAAGTTCTATGAGATAGTCATTGAATGAGCGGATGGATGGGGTGAGCTGTTCAGAGCCAGCGAGAGCTTGGCTCCAGCACGCACTGCCTGAACTTGGCACTTGCCAAAACTGCTTTCAGAGGCAATTAATACAGTATCACAAGTTTGCTGAATTGTGTTTGATATTTTATCCAAAAAATTGAAAACCCCTAACAAATTATTTTAGTCTTTCTAAATATCCATATACATTCTTCATTCTTATAAATTCCTTCTCAAGAACTTCATTCTTACCAATGATAGTCATTCTTACAACTGTTGAAATTGTCTTTTGTAGTAGGGCATGTGTACTCACTGGAGAAAAAGAGAGACAGAAAGCAAGAAATCACCCCCTTGGAGGATGCTCCCACCACAGTCTCTTCTCCCTCAGTTTCCTCTTAGGATTTTGGGCAAGCATGCACACATGCCTGGCGTGAGTATCAAGCCACTAGGTCAGGACTCAAACCATGGGCGACCATGTGGGAGTCCGGTGACCTAACCACTACAATATCTGCTGGTCTCAATATTAATATTTTAAGGTAACTGGGGAGAATTAATAAACCTACAAAAAGAAAGCTTTGGCATGACTTGATTTCAGAAATCCTCATAGCAACAAGAAATGAGCAGCTGAGTTTATAACAGTTTTTGACAGGTTGTTACTTTGAAGTAGAGGTGTTATTTAGGATGTTAGAACTAGTATGCTTGGTAATTAATCTTCTTTCATTTTTGCACTGTACTTTGTACCGTTATTAGTAAATGGTAAATACGTTCCATATGTTATTTGTAAATAACCAGTCATTATTATGTATTGGTGTTTTATGTATGTATACCACGAGCTGTTTCAGCTGTCAGTAGTTTATATGGTCTTGGACATATTTTTTTCCTGCAGCAAGTAGACACATAGAAGACTTTATAAACATTTGTTGAATAATGGCGTTAACACTTTGCCCTAATGTGATAAATAATCTAACCCAAATAGCTGTTGTAAATCCCTTTTGAAACAAGACAGGTTTTTTTGGTTTGTTTTTTGTTTTTTTTTTAATTTGCTATAGGGTACATGTGCTCACCAGAGAGAGAGAGAGAGAGAGAGAGAGGGAGAGAGACAAAAATGAGAAAGCAAGCTGCAGGTCTGGGACTTGAACCATGGCAGGTCATGTGCAATTCCAGTGCCTTAACCACCACCCCAAGACAGAGTACTCTTAAAATAAATGAAAGGACTGGTAGGTGGTGTGGTAGTTAAAGGCACTGGATTCCCACATGATGGACCATGGTTCAAGTCCTGGACCTAACAGCTTACTTTCTTGCTTTCCCTTTCTCTCTCTCTGGTCAAATGAAAAATAATAATAACAAATGGAATTAAATAAATAATTATTTGAAATAAAATAAAAAATTCAAACAAAAACATATTTTCTTGAAATAATTCTTCCAGAATCTTAGACAATCAAAATAATGTGTTACTGTATCTTGTATAAAATTTTATTTACGGTCGTGACCCTGTGTAATCCAATATATTGCAGTGAATGCTAAGGGCTTGCATGCCATTTGGAATCTTACTTAAAGGGAAAAACTGGATCTTAGCTGTAGTCAACAGGAAGAAAGGAAAATAAGAATCATTCAAGGCGCCAGCCCCTAGCCTCGTGGTAAAGGGAACTGGCCAACTGTGACTCAAATCTAGGCCCCGATGGCTTAAAAAATGTGCCAGGTGCATTTGTGTGCACACCCAAAATCCCCACCGGATAGAGAAGGGACTGTGGCATGACCATACCCTATTTGGGTTGTTTTCTCTCTTTTTTCTCTTTCTCTCTGTCTCTCTGATGAGCCCAAGCAGCCTCTGACAATTTGAAGAAAGAAAAAAAAAATCAATATCAAATGACCTCCTGTTTCTTTATCATCAGTTTCTCTCTTTTTTTTTCTTTTAATTAATTAATTTTTTTAAAAAGCACAAGTTGTGATTTTGAAAGTTTTAGTTTTAGGGATTGCAGTGTGGCCATCCCCCCTGGGGGGTGATTTCTCGCTTTCTGTCTCTCTGCCTTTCTGTCTTTCTGGCGAGTGCACGCTCCCTATAGCAAAAACCTCTAAAAAAAAAAAAAAAAAAGTTTTAGTTTTTAAAGAATTATTTTATTTAACTTTATTTATTATTATTATTTTCCAGTGTTTTGATCAGAGAGAGAGAGAGGGAAAGTGAGAAAGCAAGCCACCAGGTCCAGGACTCAAACCATGGTTGGCCATGTGGGAGTCCAGTGCCTTTAACCACCATGCCACTTGCTGGTCCCTTCTTTTAATTTATTATTTTATTTTATTATATTTTTCTCCCACTGTAGAGCATGTGTGCTCACCAGAGAAAGTGAGAAAGCACCCCCCCTCAGGGGGATTACCACACTGAAATCCCTTCCCCTCCACTTTCCTCTTGGGATTTTGGGCACACATGCACACGTACCCAGTATGCTTTCCAAGCTACCAGGCCCAGGACTAGAACCACAAAGTCAGCCATATGGATCCAACTGCCTTAACCACCATGCCACTTGGCTGGCCCTATCATCCTTTTCTTTCTAAGATTACTTACTTTTCAGGTACTACCTTTTCCGTTATCATAGCTACAATAAAATATTTCTCCAACATCGTCACATTAAAACTTACTCATGCTACAAACATATTCTGAAAATCACACTGCAATCTTTATTCTATAGCAGTCACAGAATGTGACCTACTGAACATGAAACCCATTAACAGTTAAAAGGTTTTGTATTGTCTTACTTACTATTAAGAAAGTCAACATCAGCAGAAATAATAGTAATTATATATGTATTTTAAAGAAAATTCAACAAAGATATTTCTGCTTTTCTTGATTGCTGAATCTTTCATCTGTGATGAAATGAAAAGATTTCATTAACTTTCTTCTTAGTTTATTATTTATTTATTCGTTTCCATAAAAGAGAGAGAGACTGAGATACAGGCACCCCTGCAAGGTCTTCACCCCATGACCCACCCCCAGTCTCATCCTGCCCAGGTCTTGAGCACACGTGCCAGCACAGGACACAAACCTGGGACCCTTCCAAGTGGGTCCAGTTGTACTTTCACTGTGCCACAACCTGGCCTTTAATTCAATTTTAATTATATAATCTTATTATCTCAGCTTAAACATTTACTTCTAGAACAGTGGAGGCATAGGGGAGTTACTGACCCAAGTGGCTAATAGACCCGAATTCTTATTTTAACTCAAGAGAAGAGTTTCTTCATGGGTGAACAAAAGACATAGCGCTCAACAGCAGTCAAAGAAGCAGAAGAGGGTCCTCTACTTCGTGAAGTTACTGTTTCCAAAAACAGGGTATCAGAAATGTTAATGAACAGAAGGGAAGCGATTTTAAGCTCCAGGAATTAAGAAAAATCAAGATTTGGAGACTCTTTTGGTTCAGTTTTGTTGCTGTTAGAGTTGACTTTTCTGGTGATCAGAAAATCCTAAACCTTTTCATTTTAGGTAGATATCATGTTCAGCAAATCATCCTCTGTGTCCCAGAACACACATTTCCAAAGCACATAAAACTAGTGGCCTTGAAGCTCCGTGATCCCACACGTGATCTTCCCAGGGTTACTCATTTGAGCATATATTTTTCCAAACAGCAAAGTTTGGCAGCCTTGACAACTTTATACATATATGATATCAAGACACTTATGTTCTATTTTTGATGTTTTTTCAAATCCAGAGGGCACATGCTCTTGCTAGAGAGAGACAGAGACAGAGAGAGAGAAAGGAAGAAAGAGAACATCTCCCAAGAGTGCATGGTCATGCCACAATCCCTTCTCCATTTCTCCATTCTGTCAGGATTTGGAGCACACACGCACATACACCCAGCATGTTTTTGAGCCACCAGGGCCAGAATCTATTTTCTTTCTTAAAAAATAACTGTGATGACAAGTTAAATAGACCACGAGACTTCGATTGAATCACATAATGCCTCTGTGACTCAGGTTCCAATAGATGAGGAAACTGCTTCCAACTTAATCTTCATGTTCCTTTTAGAATCAAGAAAAGTCTAAAGCAATGCTACTAATTAGGTTGATCATGTAATTTATCATTCAAACCAAGATATTTTTGCATGTGAAAATGAATGCTATTAATAATGATGTTGGGAAAACAGACATAAACTGGGACTGTCCTGGGTGAACCGGGACACATGGCCAGATTATCTATAAAGCATTGTTGTCAGGAGAGAATGAGAAACACGAAGACACATCCAGCCTCTTTGTTAAGGTTTGCTCGAGCACTAGGCAGAGTGAAGATTATGGCATATTCTCTTGGAGAATTCAGCCCCCTTTAGTAACACATCCGTGTGCAGCTCAGAGCCTTGTCCAAAGCTGAGATTCTGCTGGTCAGAGGAACTTAGAGCACTGCCAAGGAAGGGAACATTGCTCTGTGTCTTTTTTCTAATTTATTAACATTCTCTGCACAACTCCAGGTCCACGGCACCAAGAATACCGTGTGAATGGTGCCCTTAGAAAGGAGGAGACACAAATAACTCACCAGCGAGTGATTAGCCTATTTCCTGCCTCTCTGGTTGTGTTTTCAATCCACATCAAGTTATGAACAGTCTGTCTACACATTTTCTAGAAGGTGAAGCTGATGGTAACACATTTCCCTTCTCTCTCCACTCTTGTTTTGTATGCAGCGATTCCACTCAGTTACAACAGCTTCACAACCAGGTCTTACTGGAACAACAGCAGTTGCAAAACCCATCTCCTTCATCTCCTAAGGAGTTTCCTTTCAACATGAGCGTTTTGAACTCTACTGCCCTCCCGGTGGTGACAGTACCCAGCAAGCAGGGGAAGGCTCCTTCATCGCAGACGTTCAGCTTGGCCCGGCCGAAGCACTTCTTCCCTCCCACGAATACCACCGCGGCCCCCGTGTCCCCTTCCAGCTCTCCGGTGTTCACCCTGAGCAGCACTCCTCAAACTATTCAGAGGACAGTGAGCAAAGAAAGCCTCTTAGTTTCTCAACCCTCCATGCAGCCCAAATCCCCAGGAGGGATTTCCATCCAAAACGAGTTACCCGCTCCAGGCCCAGCAGAGCCAGCACCTCCGCCACCGCCACTCACATTTTCCATCCCCAGCGGAAACCAGTTTCAGCCCCGCTGTGTGTCCCCATCTCCTGTCTCCCCCACCAGCCGGATTCAGAACCCAGTGGCTTTCCTCAGCTCCGTTCTCCCTTCTCTTCCTGCCATCCCACCCACCAACGCTATGGGGCTGCCCAGGAGCGCACCATCCCTGTAAGTACAACATCTTTGAGGTTTCTTGGTACCAATAATGCCAGTGAAGAGGGGCCATGTGTAGAATAGCTTGGTCTGGGTTAGAATTCTCACTTAGAGGACTCTTATATAGTCTAATCTCTTAGACACAAAATGGATATTGAACACCTCAGGACAAAGAACATGTTTCCTTTGCTTAATTTTTAATAATTAAAATATCATAAAAAGACATACAAACACAGATTCTCTCAACATACTCAACTTCATAAGTGCCCACTGACTACTGCTGTCTGGTTCATTTCAACCACTCTAATTTCTAGGCCTTTGTACCCTGGCCAGTGCATCTCACGGATGTGTTGTATGTGAATTTATTGTACAGGCCACCCCAGGGACTAATGAAGAAAAATACAAAGCCATCTCAACCAGTGAATGATGATTACATTCGTGAAACTAAGAATGCAGTGATTCTAGATTTGGGGAAAAAAATGAATTTCAGTGATGTCCGATCAAACCAGCAGGTAAGAGTGTTGGATTCCAACGGCTCTTCGGAATTTTATTATAAGAATATAATTTTGCTTTAGCCTGTCCTCAGTACTCAGGTCCTCTGACCCCAGTGAGGGTGACACTGCAGCTTAGATGATGGAGCACAGACTGACCAAGGGCATGTAGGAAATTCGTCCATGTGGATCTGCAGCTCTTGATTACCCCGTAGTTAATTCAGCTTACTTGTTTGCATGTGTTTACCAAGAATAGACGATAACAAAGAAGGAAAGAGATTAGACAGTCTGTTGTCCATCTCGGCATATCCTCGGCTCAGTTTTGGTAAACACCGTCACATCTTTAACGTATTTTGATATCTGAGCCTTGAGATGATTTAGACTTTAAGGAATGCTGAGATCCTAAGCCATCCTTCATCTGAATCCTTCAATCTCATGTGCCTAGATGGTTACTTACTAAATTCTCTCAAGGTTGAATCATGTGGAATAGCTGTTAGGCATCATTCTATGGTTTGACCTGTGTAATTCCTTGCTTTCTAAGAAACTAGAGAAACCAATGAGCAGAGAACGCTAGAGGTGAGCATCAGTTAAACAGAAGAAAGATAGATGGCTTTGATGTGGGCCATTTATTTTTGTTTTTGATAATCAAGTGGTTATTCTGCAAGTTTACTTTTTTTCTTTAAAGAGAGAGATTTTTGCTGTAGGGCATGTGCTGGAGACACAGAGAGAGACAGAGAAAGAAAGTGAGAAATCACTCCCCAGTGAGGATGGCCATGCTGCAATCCCGTCCCCTCCATTCCCCTGTTGGGATTTTGTACATTCACACACATGCACCCAGCATGAGTTTGAACCCACCAGGTCCAGGACTCAAACTGCAGTCAGCCATGTGGGAATCTAACACCTCAACCACTATGGCCACCTGCTGGCCCTCAAGTTTACATTTTAATAATCTAAGTCTTGGTTTATTTCTCAAGATGGGAACTGGTAAAATCTATTTTGAAATGTAACAAAATTTTGTTCAAAACAATACGCCAGATATCATGGAATTTGTGACATTGATGACGTTTGGAAAACAGATTCCAGGTTTTCCTGATCATATGTTATTTCCCTTAGTGTTTCTAGCTCTTACTTCAAGCAGAGCCATGAATATATAATACTTTGCAATTGTGTTATATATAAAGCAGCTTTTACTGAGTAGGTTCTTTTGAAAATCACTTAAAATCTTTTTTTTTTTTTTGAGAGGTTTTTGCTGTAGGGCGCATGCACTCGCCAGAAAGACAGAGACAGAGAGTCAGAAAGCAAGAAATCATCCCCCAGGGGAATGGCCATGCTGCAATCCCTTCTCCTCCATTCTCCACTCGGGATCTTGGGCACACACGCACATGCACCCGGTGTGAGTTTAAGCCACTAGGTCCAGGACTCGAACCATGGTCGACTACATGGTAGTCCAGCGACGTAGCCATTATGCCAACTGTTGGTCCCACCACTTAAAACTTTTAAATTTTGATTTTAAATTAACTGATGCAGAGTATATCAACTTGCCATGACTAAGTATACTTTTCATCTTGTTTCACCAAATTACATGTGAAACTACCAGGGTAGATATCCTCCTTCATCTTCTAGAGAAACTGAGGCATAGTCATCAAATAGTCAGGGGTGGAGCTCAAACTAGAGCCCTCAGCTATAAGACACTTGCACATTTTCCCCGAAACTACGCAGCCGACTACATGGTAGTCCAGCGATGTAGCCATTATGCCAACTGTTGGTCCCACCACTTAAAACTTTTAAATTTTGATTTTAAATTAACTGATGCAGAGTATATCAACTTGCCATGACTAAGTATACTTTTCATCTTGTTTCACCAAATTACATGTGAAACTACCAGGGTAGATATCCTCCTTCATCTTCTAGAGAAACTGAGGCATAGTCATCAAATAGTCAGGGGTGGAGCTCAAACTAGAGCCCTCAGCTATAAGACACTTGCACATTTTCCCCGAAACTACGCAGCCTTTTCAGTTTTATGACAGTTCCCTTTAAGCCCCATAAATGTTGCTATAACAAAGATTTGTTTTCCTATAATACTGTCATCACATGTGATGGTGAAACCTTGTAAGTGTCATTGAAATCAGAATTGTATTCAGACTATGTCTTTGACAACTCAAAGAGAAAGCAATGAAAAATGATACCAGTTCCACACATAAACCGTTTGATTTTTACTTTAATAGTTACTCTACGGGTAGGTCCAGGCTAACCCATTGCCAAACTCAGGGGAAAGGAGGGTTTCTCTTTCAATGAGCTGACATATAAGTACACATAAATGTGAACGTCCAGGAGTTGAATGCCATAAACCCAGAAGAACTCTCTTGTAAACTTCCATTATGAATCAACTTCCAGACTCACAGCTGAAACTAGGAAAGTCTCCATCCTCTGCCTCTGAATACCTGTGACATGTGTAAGTCTTCTGAGAATTATTATCCTGAGAAATATTACTGTTGGTTAAGTGGTTGTAGATTGCATTCTGTGCTGTGCATAGTAAATTCAGGTTGGATAAATGAAATTTAGAAAACTAAGGAGCTGTTTGAGATGAAATGCTTGCATCAGGTTGGTAGATGTAGATTCTGAGGAAGTTTTGAGAAATAAAATGATGACTGTACATATTGTTTTATCCATTGCTGCCCTGGGAAATGATAGTGAAAATGTCATGAAGAACTATCTAAAATAAAATACACTGTGGCCCATTGGTGAGGTCAAGAAGAAAGATAGCTTAGAAAAGTGTAAGAACACTAGATATGTGGGAAACAGTTATAAATAACTATTTCTGTAGTGATTATCATCTACCCCTGCAGTCTAGGGACACAGGAATCGAAATGACCTGTTTCTCGCTCCCATGTAGAGGTGGAGAACACATGAACAAAGGATTCTTCCTGAGCAGGATGTGTTTGTTTTGCTTTGCTTTGAAAACACTTAGGTTTAGAAAGCTGGAATCGCTCAACCTATTTTAATCCTAAACAAACGAAGAATAGTCTCCATCCTAGCACATTTGTGCAGGCTAGTGTGACCACACTGAGCTGAGCGTGAAAATAAATCAGAAGACCCTGAATGGTGAATATTACTGACCATATTGGTTTTTCTTTGATGTACCTACCACTTTGTATTTCTCTGTTGAAATATGAGGCTTCTTCAAAAAGCTCATGGAAAATACACTTCTTTTTTTAAAGAATTATTTTTTTGGGCTGGCAGGTGGCATGGTGGTTAAGGGTGCTGGACTCCCACATGGTTGACCACGGTTTGAATCCCAGACCTGGTGGCTTGCTTTCTCCCTCTCCCCCACTCTGTCCCTCTCTGGTCAAATAAAAAATAAATAAATAAAGTTAAATAAATTATTACTTTAAAAAGAGAATTTTTTTTTTTTATTTGTTATTTTTTTTTTCATTTGACCAGAGAGAGAGGGAAAGGGAAAGGGCGAGAGCAAGCCTCTGGATCTGGAATTCAAACCACAGTTGGCCATGTGGAAGTCCAGCACCTTAACTACCACGCCACCTGCTGGCCCTGAAAATGTACATTTAAAAATGTATGTATTTCCATTTCTTGCGCCAAAATATACTCATATTTTAATTCTATTTTTTTAGAAGTTTTTCGAGGTGCTCTCATGTTTCAGCATTTACCCTCTCATTCATTTTATGCATTTCCAATTAGCTATTAGCATTCGTTGATTCTTAAAACTTTGTTATCATCCTTCCAGATGTCCATATTTACTAAAATTTTTAACTTTCTAAACTGACAACAAAGTGTCTTTGGCCTAGGAATAAGCCTGATTTCTTTCTTTCTTTTCTTTTTTTTCTTAGAGATTTTTGCTATAGGGCACATGCGCTCTGTCTCTCTCACCAGAGAGACAGAAAGTGAGAAATCACCACCCAGGGGGATGGTCATGCTGCAATCCCTTCTCCTCCATTTTCCTCTTGGGATTTTGGGCATGCACACACACACACCCAGCGTGAGTTTCAAGCTGCCAATTCCAGGACTCAAACCTTGTTGACTACATGGGAGTCCAGCAACATAACTATTACACTATCTGCTGATCCCTAAGCCTGATTTCTTATCAGGTGTTTTGATTTCTAGATTGTAAGATACATCATTTCTTGTTTTAAAGAATATCATTCATCGGCCTTAATTGGACACCAGTGAAATCTAAATGATTTAGATTGACGTGTTGAACCTGAGAGGATGAAGGAGCCCAGGATAACAAAATGTAGCAAACCACCATGATGAGAGATTTTTTAAGTCACATACAACTTGGCGCAGTATTCTGCACCCAGTAGATATTTTCTGACTTTCATGTTGATGGCTAGTGTCTAATGTCAGTATTCCTCTCTCCACCATCTACTGTCTTATTCCAACTTTCCTCTTTGACCTCATTTCTCTGCCAACCTTCCCATCTCTTTTGGGGGGGAGGTGGGGAGAGAGATTTTTGCAATAGGGTGCGTGCACTCGCAAGAGAGACAGAAAGAGAGAAATAACCACCTGGGGGGATGGTCATGCTGCAATCCCTTCTTCTCTATTCTTCTCTTGGGATTTTGGGCATGCACACACATGCACCCAGCATGAGTTTTAAGCCAGCAGGTCTGAGACTCGAACCTCAGTTGGACAACGTGGAAGTCCAGCAATGTAACTGCTATGCCATCTGCTGGTCCCAACTTTCCCATCTCTTTATTCTGTCCTCCCACATCCCCCACACTTTGTAATATTAATTCTCCAGATTTATTTTAAAAAAGAAAAGAAAGAACAAAATTCTCCTTTGAGCACATTTTCTATAAGCAGATGGTATAGTAACTTCTGTTTTCATTTGCAAAGGGGATGAGGCAAGAGGAAATGGAGAACACGGAACGAGTCCAGTGCCAGAATGTTAAAATGCTCATCCACGGACTGATTGGTAGTGAAACCTTTGTGCAGAACTGTGCAGAAAGTACCTTTACATTGAATTCAACACATTTCTTGTGTTTGTAAATTTCCTCATGAAATCT